TCTTGTTTCATTTGACAAGTGTCTAACACTAATTACACTAACAAAATGCATGTCAAGGAACTGGTACCTGCTTACCTATGTTATGAGAAACATGGAACTGTTATCATAATTTTATAAAAACCAATAGGATATTTTCTTAGTAATAATTAGGTTTATAATGGTAAAAGGTAATTCTAATGTAATAATATATTGCGTAGGTTCATGATAGTTCTGATCAATGTGTGACATATGTATATTCCTGACATAGCTTAAATATTCTGATAAGGTAAATTAATGAAATAAAACAACTTAAGTACTTTTATGTTGCGTTTAATATTACATATCATCTACATTTTGAATTAAAATATCATCGAAATATTTTATCAATCTTTACAAAATAGATTTGTTTTGATGTTATATAAACAACCTCGATCAGTCTTTGTGAATGTTACTACACCCATAGCCAATAGAAATGATTCGTATGTTTTCCAAACCGGTAAAAATAGAAGTCCTTTTTTAAAATTAATATATTATTTAAAGGTGGCCGTTAAAATCTAATGACTGTAAAATAAAGTATAAATTACGCCAAGAATTACTGTATATGTCAAAATTTTATTTGCATTTAGGCCAATTTGACCAATCTCCTTTGAATTAAAAACTTCGTTGCAAGTAAGGCTAAAAATATTTAAAGATATTTGTTTCTTAGGTTTTCACGCACATCACTCATTAAATAAAACTAGTTTTAACGGGTTAATGCACGAATCTTTATTTATTTATCGACGTTTCGCCAACGACGTTATCCTTTTCAGGTCTGTATCGTCAGAATACTATACAACAAAACAATACAAATAAAAAAACAGTATTCTGACGATGCAGACCTGAAAAGGCTGCGAAACGTCAATAAATCAACCCGTTAAAACTAGTTTTGTTTAATATTTAAAGAGTTATTATAATAAGTTAACAACAAAAGGGCTTGTTAAACAAGGTATTCACGAAAGTTCACCAATTGACTTCCTTTGGTAGCCGAGGTGGTTATGGTACAACCGTGCGCATATGCTCTCGAGCGCCGCGTGAGCCACTCGTGTGCGCACGCGCCGGCCACGCGCCCGCCGCCATTACGATTTTAATAGTCCCATTATTTTTACACGTTTCTCTATTGCGAATATTAGATCGTCAAGTGGTTATTGGAATATTTTAAAAGGTCAAGTCGATTTGGGCGTTCGTTTTCCTTTCAATGGTTTGATGATACGAATTATTTAATTGTTTTGAGATAACAATAATGTCTTTTTTTACTGACATGAATAACTTGTAATTGACAGTATAAAGGTATCATGGATGTCTTAATATTTTGATGATCTTAAATATATGCTATTAGGTGCTAATGCAAATGATTTGTTTGGCAGATTTTGCAATAATATTACACTGAAAAATACAGTGCATACCTCGACAAGGGCGGATTTAAGGGTATTTTAGTATCTCCAGCAGATGCCTACAAAAGAGCAACAGTGCTGTCAAATATTAGAGCTCTGCTACTAGCACTGCCGTGCAATCTTTCTCCACCTTACGCCGATTAAAATCATATCTTCGCAACAGGATGACAGACGAGCGTTTAAATGGATTTAATGCATATCCATCAAGACGTTGTGGCAAAAATGGACGCTAATTCATTAGCACAGCACTTCAGTGCTGGATATCTTTAGCAGGAAATAGAAGAAAACTGTCCTTATCAAACATTTGCATTACATTTGTTTTGACAATTTTATAAACTTTCCTGTACATACTTGAATTTAAAGAAAAGTTTACTAGAAAAAAATCATCTAGCAGTTAAATGCTTAAAAAAAAAAACATACTTGAATTGTTGATTTTTTTTTGCCTATGCGCCACTTATGCCCCTCCCAGAAAAAAATCCTGGATCCGCCCTTGAACCTCGATATAACAAATCGGAAGGGAACAAGTTAATATTCGTTGTATCGAGTAATTCTTTAAACTGAGGTTTGTTATATTGAGGTTAGGTTGGTCTAAAATTTGTTATAAAGAGGTGAAAAAATAGTTTCCTGGCGTGACATGAATCACGTACTTTGGGATTAAGGGCCATATATTGACAAAAACGATAAATAGAGGATTTTGGTTTACAAAATTCGTTTATTAGCGGTATTTACTCTTTTTTTGATAGGTGAAAATTGGTTATAAAGAGGTTGTTCGCAAAAAATATAATGATTAAATATATAGTAATAGTTTACCTGTATTTTAATTGCTGTGCCATACAGCATTAATACAAATACAAATATTATTTATATGACAAATATTACGGGGTCTATCTCAAAATCTAAACTACTAAGGAATGTGAAATAAGGAATATGAGATTTTGGCATTTGGTATATGGTTTTGTGTGAAACGCTGATTCATAATGTACTTAGTAAGTTGTGACGAAAACAAACCAACGACTTTTCCTTTCGCGGTTTGTTGTACGGAACTCTTCATGCGCGAGTCCGATTCGCACTTGGCCGGGTTTTTTTTTTATTTTATCGACACGTACGTACAACGTCTGTTAACTCCACTAATAATGTTTTATTATAAATAATTATAATAACATAAGTTATTTACGGGATTGTTACCATGTACCTTGTTTTTAGCGAGTTTCCGATAACAAGGTTACCCATCCCATCGATCCGTTAACATCTCGTTAACAAATCACAATTCTCATCCGTTAACATCTTGTTAACGGATCGACGGGACGGATAACATGGTAACAATCCCGTAAATAACTTATATTACTGTAATGTTAGTGACCATGAAAGTTCAAAACAATATCTAATATATAAAATTCTCGTGTCGCGGTGTTTGTGGTTAAACTCCTCCGAAACGGCTTTCCCAGTTCTCATGAAATTTTGTGTGCATATTGGGTAAGTCTGAGAATCGGACAACATCTATTTTTCATCCCCCTAAATGTTAAGGGTAATCCACCCCTAAATTTTTTTTTAAATTTTTTTATGATACATCATACAAAAATAAATATAACTCAAAATTTTCACCCTTCTACCACCAACCCCTATATTTTTATGGCGGTACAAAGTTCGCTGGGACAGCTAGTTTTATTTTAATATATGCGTATGTTTTACTGAGGCATTATAGACTTAAAAAAAATGCGAGGAAAGATTTTGTTTACAAATAATAACCCCTAAAGATAATCTTGCACACTGGCATGTAAGTGCCCACTTACCGACCCTCTTCAAATTAAAGAAGCGTGCAGTTTGTGGGTTTGAATAATGCGCGCATAATTACAATAAAAACAACCCCGAACCCTGAAGGGAGGATTGTTTAGAATCGGACAACGCTTAACAATCACACCCTAATGATAATACTACGATTAAGGTGATTTGATAATTTGTCCGCAATATTATCTTAATACTTCACTTTATTAAGCATTTTCATTTTGGGTTATTATTATTAGAATCTACGTTTTTGTATGTTTCATTATAGATAAGTACGTTTTAAGTAACACCAAAAACCACCACGTTGGGCGCCAAAAATAATTACTGTCAAATCTCTATTTACTGTAGTAATTTCTTTTAAAAGAATATAATATTTTAGATAGTGAAATATAATATCAAGCGTGCTTATTCTTTAGATTGTCGATGGGTATAAACGCTAAAGACACAGCGGGTAGTCGCTAATTTGTCACGCGCCGACGGCGGGACACGTTAGAACACTTGTTCTCTGCTAAAGAGTCTGAGATCTATGATACCATAGGAAGGGTTTGTAATTGCTGAACCACTTATGTACTGCTGCGATATATACCGATCATTTAAATAGAAAAAGAAATCATTTAACAAAGTATTAATATTAATTACTAGCGACAGTCCGTGACTTTGTCCGTGTTAAATTTAGTTTTTTGAGAATCCTGAACCAGACATTTAACGGGGATAAAAGTATCCTATGTCTCAATCCAGGTCATAAACTGCCACCAAATGCACAAGTACCAAATTTCACCCAAAACCGTTCAGTGGTTTAGGCGTCAAAAGCGTAACAAAAAACAGTCAAAAAGCTCACTTCCGAATTTATAATAATATATTTTCTCAGCACAATGTTATTACCAATTTTTAATAATACGTGTGGATATGAAACCAAAATGATCAAGATTTCCTCGTAATATATCGAAATGTAAATTATATATTGACGACCTCCGTGGCCGAGTGGTTTGTACGCCGGGTTTTATGGTGTCTCCGACTCGAGCGATCCCGGGTTCAAATCCCGATCAATTCAATTTATTTGTAATAAATAAGGTAGGTGTTTGTGTGATGAATACGAGCATTTGTGCTCCAGTAATGGATGTTTAATATGTATTTCTATACAAATATACTTATTTACGAACTTTATATGTATTCTATCCGTTACCCTAGTATCCCATAACACAAGCCTTACAGTGCTTACTTTGGGGCTAGGCTAATTGGTGTGAATGTTGAAAATATTTATTTATTATGTCCTTCCGAAACCTGGAAGAAACTCCTTGAAGTGTAAACTAAATCATGTTTATGCGTGATTATAACGAGGGACACTCGAGATCTCCGCCTCGTCATATCTCCCCCGTATAACAAGTAATCGCGGTACAGTTACCGGCCCCATACAAAGTTTAGTGAGCAGAAACAAGAAAGCCGCGCCCTGAATCAGGGAAGCCTACTCTTCACCATTTTCACGCAAATTAAAAGACACAAACGTAACCATAAACAAGATTTTTCCTGCGAGTGGTAAAACTCACCATTCATAGACGTCGTATTCAATTGCTTGAGAGCGAAACGGAACGCCCCGAGGCATTAATTAGAGCAGAAACTCGTGTCTATGGTCGTTCCTTTTTTAAAACTGAGTCTTTATGCGAGTTCCCGCCTTTGTAGGCCTTCTGTTCCTAGCGGTAGTTAAGTGTCGAGCGGTGTTTTAATTTCTTTGTTGCTTTTGTTTGAGGAAAAACTTGGCTTTTGACATTAACGATTGAGGTTTAATTATTTTGTAATTTTTTTTGTTTAAAGGTGCGGTACACAATGAGGACGAACAAGCAACTAGGTGTAATTCGACACCCACAAGCCAGAACTTGGAAGCTTCCGACTTAGAAGATGATATTTCTGTCGGAGACAATCGCAGTGAAACATCTACTCCGAAAAGGCAACCTGCATTTGAAAATGGCACCGAAAATTTTCAAAACAAAACAGAATCGGGAGAGAGGGATTGTTTGTCACCAGTCGAATACAATTCGAGTAATCGAATATCGAATTCCAATTACAATTCGCCCTTTAAAGAAGACGAAAATGAATATGAGAGTCGGACGGAAGAACAAATAAAATTTTACGATAGCAGTCTTTTTCATTTGTATAGGTCCGACAGGGAGAGTAACAAAGACGGCACGAATGAGAACAATTCAGCATTTGGACGCATTAATGGATCTTTATCAGAAACTATCTATGGTCGGTCCATGGACTTGTCTAAGAATTCCTTTCAGTCGCAACTGTTAGCTGGATTTGCTGCTTCCGTTATCGCTGGAAATACACAGAGAGAATCACAGGAATCTTCAGGTAATTAATGAACAGGACTTTATGAGAAACGTTTAAATAAACTCGTGTCTTGACAAACTAAACTTTTTTTTTTTATAGATAGGTCCGACAAATGACTTCACCCCACCTGATGTTAAGTGAAGGTGAAGTCCAGACGAGATAAACTACTGAAATCAAGTCTGTCCACAGTGTGGCTTTGCCTGCTTTATTGCCAGGCTAGTTCAATTGCACTTACAATGGATATTAAATTAGTATGCTGGAACTTACAATTCCGGCAAACCAAAATATGGTTCACTAAGTGGTAAACGTAACAATAGAGTAAAGAAGAAGTGTTTCGCGAGTAGTTTTAAAAAGCTAAGCTTAAATATAAGTCTAAATGAATGACCTACTATTAAATTACTACGTTTCAATTATTATTTTTTTAATTAATAAAATACCCTACTGGGACGCTTATAATAATAATTGCCGATAGGCATAAACTTTTTTTAAGGGACTATGTTCCTTTTTTTATAGTCGGGTCCCATCATATAAAAATTTTATACATTCTTGAATATGTAATGGGTCCCAACTGTTAAAGTAGCTTTGTCCCTTACTTAACAGAATTATAGATGGACTTGTATATTTCTTTTCAGTTTTTGTTTGCAGTTATATGAAGAAGCCGGCTTTTTTGATATTTTTAATTTTCCCTTTTTTACACAAAACTTTTTGTATTACCCTCCAATTAAATATTGAGTTACTAAAGAAGACACTAGCCAAACGTTGAGTAAAGGTAACCACAGCGTAAAAATGAATAAGATTCCGTAAACTAGCTGCAGTAAAACGATCAGTACAAAAAAAAGGAAAATAGTATTTGCAAATATTCTACATTAACTTACAATAGTAAGATTAAATCTACTGTTTACTTCTATTGGAAATAGTCAAAATCTTTTCTAAGGGGTTACCCCCTCAAACGTGGCGCCCCACGAGGGGCTCAAAAATTACGATTTTAAGCAAAAAATGTAAAGGGCTCTTAAATATAAACAAATGTTTATGTCAGATCGGCAGCAGCAGTCACGCGGCGCGCCGGGCTCCGGTCGCAAGCCGCGGCGCCGACGAACTGCCTTCACTCACGCTCAGCTGGCGTACCTCGAGCGCAAGTTCCGCTGCCAAAAGTACCTCAGCGTCGCCGACCGCGGAGACGTCGCCGACGCGCTCAATCTGAGCGAGACGCAGGTCAAGACCTGGTACCAGAACAGAAGGTGAATATTTGAAATATATAGTAAAGCCACGGCACCAATGAACCGCCTTCACTCAAGCGCAGCTGGCGTACCTCGAGTGCAAGTTCCGCTGCCAAAAGTACCTCATTGTCGCCGATCGCGTAGACGTGACCGATGCGCTCAATCTGAGCGAGACGCAGGTCAAGACCTGGTACCAGAACAGAAGGTGAGTATTTGAAATATATAGTAAAGCCACGGCACCAATGAACCGCCTTCACTCAAGCGCAGCTGGCGTACCTCGAGTGCAAGTTCCGCTGCCAAAAGTACCTCATTGTCGCCGACCGCGTAGACGTGACCGATGCGCTCAATCTGAGCGAGACGCAGGTCAAGACCTGGTACCAGAACAGAAGGTGAGTATTTGAAATATATAGTAAAGCCACGGCACCAATGAACCGCCTTCACTCAAGCGCAGCTGGCGTACCTCGAGTGCAAGTTCCGCTGCCAAAAGTACCTCATTGTCGCCGACCGCGTAGACGTGACCGATGCGCTCAATCTGAGCGAGACGCAGGTCAAGACCTGGTACCAGAACAGAAGGTGAGTATTTGAAATATATAGTAAAGCCACGGCACCAATGAACCGCCTTCACTCAAGCGCAGCTGGCGTACCTCGAGTGCAAGTTCCGCTGCCAAAAGTACCTCATTGTCGCCGACCGCGTAGACGTGACCGATGCGCTCAATCTGAGCGAGACGCAGGTCAAGACCTGGTACCAGAACAGAAGGTGAGTATTTGAAATATATAGTAAAGCCACGGCACCAATGAACCGCCTTCACTCAAGCGCAGCTGGCGTACCTCGAGTGCAAGTTCCGCTGCCAAAAGTACCTCATTGTCGCCGACCGCGTAGACGTGACCGATGCGCTCAATCTGAGCGAAACGCAGGTCAAGACCTGGTACCAGAACAGAAGGTGAGTATTTGAAATATATAGTAAAGCTGCGGCGCCAACGAATTGCCTTCACTCACGCTCAGCTGGCGTACCTTGAGCACAAGTTCCGTTGCCAGAAGTACCTCAGCGCCGCCGACCGCGGAGACGTGGCCGACGCTCTCAATCTGAGCGAGACGTAGGTAAAGACCTGTTATCACAACAGAAGGTAAGCATCTATGTATGTTACCAAAAATACACGTATGCCAGTGCACGGCGTTAACTCAGCTGGCGTACCAAATCTAAGCGAGACGCAGCTCAAGACCCATGTACCAGAACATCGAGTAAATATTTGAAATAAATACTAGAAAGTATTACCATTACATGTAAAACCTGTAAAAAACGTGGTTCCCACTGTCTGTTCGAGTTCCTTATAGGCTTAATTATGGCGCCCACCGTGTTACTACTGCATTTATGATTAAAAGGAAGTGTGTTTTAACCTCGTTTCACTTCAGACTTCATAATTAATAATCTAGTTTTATAATAGACGAAACTTTTCTTGTAATTTACTGAGGAAAATATCCTCAATGAGGCACCTAATGTCACCTAGATTTCTTTGCATACCTATTTATTTTGTTTTGGGTTCAAATATAGTTTGACTTGACTTCTTGACTTGTCTACACATCTTTCGTTAGAAAGCATACTAATAATAAGTTGAATAGAACCTCGTTTTTGAAAAAAACAATATTAAGGGTTTTTTCGCCGACGACACCTCAAGTAGACACTCTAGTTATCTAGTTTTTCTAAAGACACGTGGGCCAGGTACAGAAATACGGTAGCCGCAACGTTGGAAAGGGGGGGTAGGGTGGTATTATTTGGATGATTTTGTTTGACATTATCTATAGTTGGTTGAACGCCCTAATCTCAGGAGCTACTGCTCCGATTTATTATTTTTTTGTATTAAAGTCTCTTTTCATTAAATTAATACGGTGAAGCCACAGGGCACAACTAGTATAGTTGTGTGTATAAGTCGCGGCACAAAACTCTAGCGCTGACCGTTATTACGCAGAACTTTAAATGTCTTGGGGGGGGGGGGGGGGGAACAGAGGAGAGCGGGCGGGCGTGCTTTGCGACGATTGGCTCTCCAGTCGTACCCATGGGCAGCTATCTCCGCGATTTGTTCAGCGCTAGAGTTACGTCCCGTAACCTGTAATGTGCTTGTCTGTAGGACAAAATGGAAACGCCAGAATCAGCTGCGGCTGGAACAGCTGCGCGCCCAAGCGGCAACGGGCGACCGTGACCTCAGTGCGCACACGCTGCCGCTCGCCTGCGCGCTGCTGCCGCCTTACCCGGCCTACATGCACTGCCATCTATGAACTGCACCTTATTACGCTGCAACAGGAACAGCAATGAACTACACAGAAGCTCTTTAGTCGTCTCCAGAGACATCGTTTATAAATGAGTGGATTGCAGAGCTTTCAATTTAGTAGTTTTTCTTCTTATAACCCAGTTCACGATTGACAGTGAGAATTACACCCGATATATTGTTTTAAACTATCACTGGATACTAACATTATAGTAATTTATGTTATTGACGGGACTGTTACCATGTGTACCTAGTTTGTAGCGAGTTTCCGATGTTTTGGCATATTTTGCAAACGCCACGATCACGAAGTTACTCCGTGATCATGGTTTGCAACAAATAGTATTACACCCGGTTTCTGAATGGGTGTTTAGCGATAAAATAAACTTAGCCGTCAAATCTGCTTTTTAACTATTAATTATTTTGCTGAAAACCTCATCAACTAATCACTGTGTTACTACTATCACCGCACACGGGCCACACGCCACAGCCACAAACGTCGCCACGAGAAGCTAGAAGCGGCTACTAAAGTGGCTGAAGCGCGCGACAGCGGCCGACTAAGGCAAGGGAGAGAGGGGTGGGGAATCGCGCGAGTGACGTGTGGCGGCCTTTTGTATCGGCGCTTTAAGTAGTCGGTGCGGGCCACAAGAAGCGAGCAACGACGATTTGTAGCGTGTGCCGGCCACCGGCGTACCGTGTGTGGCCAGTCCATATAAAATGTATGAAAACTTCAAGAAATATGCCGGTGGCGGCGACACTAAGCCGACCGAGCTGTCAAATTTTGTTCAAAAATTATTACATCCTTTGTCTAGAATTTTTCGCTAATCTTCGTTTCAGAAACTCGAATTGATTCAGCGCTTGACAGGCATGTTAGTAGAATAATGATTTGATAATCCTTTCAAAAACGTAGTGAAATCTTAGAGTTCTATGTAGCAATCCAGAAATTCCCAAACATTGTTTTTTGCTGATTGTGTAACAATATTTTAGCAGTCCCCGAAATGAAAGTATCCGTCTGTTTAGATATAAGTACTTGAACAATGGCCAAATCACAGGAATTACCCTAATTCCAAAGAAAGCCGCTTAACCATTTTGTTATTGATAGTAGGAGCAACTAAGAGACGGTAATTGAGATGTTATTTTTATCATTATTACGTATTAAATGTGATAACTGTGTTTGCATGAGTATTTCTTTATCGTACCGTAAAAGGGTTTTCCAAAAAGGCTTAAAATAAAAAGAAATATGTGGTTTTATAATATCTTTATTTAATAACGTGACGAACTCCGTGGCCGAGTGGTTTGAACGCCGGGTTTCATGGTGTCACCGACTCGAGAGGTCCCGGGTTCGAATCCCGGTGGGGGCAGATGTTTGTGTGATGAATACGAGCATTTGTACTCCAGTCATGGATGTTTAATATGTATTTCTATATAAATATACTTATATATGTACAGTATACGTATTCTATCCGTTACCCTAGCATCCCATAACACAAGCCTTACAGTGCTTACTTTGGGGCTAGGCTAACTGGTGTGAGTGTTTTAAATATTTTTTATTATTATTATAACGAACAAAACCTACTCCGATTCCGTTTCAAACCAGATTCAGACAAAATGTATTTGTATTTTCTCATTTATCATTATAATTGTTTCAAGTTTTCAAATTATACTAATAAAAATATTTGCAGCACTGTAAATAATTAATACGTATAAACTAATACCGTATATTATATAGTCAGGTTACGCCAACATTATTGTATATTAAATAAAATTGCACAAGTAGTGCCTGCCTCAACTTCGCATAAAGCAGATTACGAGTGTATTCCGTAATATATACCTGTATACTGGTCAGCGCTAATGACGTCATAAATCGACGCTATACTGGTGAATTGTTCCGAAATATACTCGCCAGTGCACTGACGTCATAATTCGAAGAAATATTAAAAATAGTGCGAATAAAGAAGATTTTTTTCACCTCATCAATTAAAAGGAATTCTTTTTGTTCGGATGCCATTATCGGCTTTACCGATTGCGAGGCTCCGGGCGGCAGGTCTTTGCGAGGCCCTTTGTCCTTCGTGAAAAGTATGTGATGCGAAAGTAGGTCTGGTTGTTTGGTTTAGGTATGCTTGTGTCATTGAAAAAATAGTTTTTTTTTATAATTTTAAATTTTGCTTGGGTTGTTGCGCGAGGCCCCTGTAGGAGCGAGGCCCCGGGCGATTGCCCTGTTCGCCACCCCCTAAGACCGCCACTGGCCATTATTGTTCTTTAAATAAAATAGAAATAAAATTTGAATGTTCCCCACGCACGCTCGGTCATACGTCATAGTCGTTTTCCCGGTAAAAATATGGTAGCATACCAGTACAACATGGCGTCGGATTCGTGACGTCATTACCACTGGCCAGTATACTGACGTATATTTCGGAATACACCCTACATCTCGCTCTTTAGTGTCAACGGTGTCAGCAACTGTCAAAATAAGTAATCACAAAATATTTTTAGATTCATTTCTTAAAAACTGTACTTACGAATGAAATGACACGTATTATTGTGTATAATAGTTCTCTTGTAATTTTTGTATAATCTCAATACACACATAGGGCTTTTTGTCTTGCAAAACATAAAAAAATTACGCGTTGTAGCGAAGTGTAGCCGCAGCGAGAGAGCGTGCTCGACTGAATGCAACTCGGGCAATTACCTGACTTTCGTATTGCCAAATTATAAGCGTCTATGACGTATCTTAACTATAAAATATCATATATAGAGTCTGTGCGGAAAGAGAATGGGATTTAGAATGGAGGGCGCTGTAGTGCTTTTCTACCGTATTTGTAAGGTTTTACCCCTTTTAGACATGATTAAATACAAAAAACCGCAAGAAATCACAACAACAAACAAATCCGTATCAATACAAAACTTTGACGTTTTACAGATTGCTGGGTTTGATTGCCAAATAAAAATCTTCATGTTAGTTCCGTTTTTCGCCACGCCCATTTTCTTCCCGCACAGATTTTATAAATTTTTTACTATAAATTGTTAGAAGTTTCCTTGAGTTTCGTATATTTGTAAATAGTCTCAAATATCAGAAATTGCTTCTGACCTCACTATTTCTATGATGAAAATGTTTGTATATATTTGAGAGAATTTTAAAGTGAATAGAGGATTTCCCGCTTGAATTGGAACGCCCGTCTGGGGGAAATCATCTCCACTTTAATGAATACCACAGTAAAATAACACTACGTTGATGATGTCAGATTTACTTTAGTAATAGGTAATGTCCTCCTCATCAAATTTCTTACGGGGTAAGAATGGCTGACAGCAGCACAATTTACGGCTGCATCAGCTATCTTACATTTAACTTAACTCCACTTACACTTAACATAAGCTGGAGTGATGTAACTTGCAACATTTTTACAAGCTTTTATTATTTCATTTAATAACTTGCTATGTATGTTTGTTACTGTCAAATCTCACTTGCCCTCAACCGGTCCAGCTGAAATTTGGTATGCTCGTTCAGTTCGGATGACAATGCATGATCAACAGTGTGACGTCATTCTAAATCCAATATGGCGGCATACCCAAAATGGCGGACCAATCATTTTTAATGCATTCCTACAATATGGGTATCAAATTAAAGGGCTTGCTGAGAGTAACTCGAAAAAAATGTAACGTCACTCTCAATCCAATATGGCGGACTTTTAAACGCGTTCAGTTTGTTTGACAATGCATAGTTAATTGTGTGACGTCATTCTAAATCCAAGATGGCGGAAGACATTTTTTTCTTTTTAGCGCATTTGAATAAAAGCTTGTTTTTAAAAAGGTTTTTTTAACCTTAATTTTATGTATTATAAAAATCACTTTGTAGCATTAGTTCATAAAAAGAGAAAAAAAAAAAATTAGGGGCCGTCGATTAATCATGTGATGTATTTTTTAGCATTAATAAACTCCCCCACCCCTTGGTGATACATGGTGAGGTTTAACACTACCCCCCCCCCCTCCCCCCCCGCATCATGTGTATTTTTAAGTATCTACGAAGAATCTTATTTTTTTTTATATTTATAAAATACTTTTTTTTTTATTTCTATAAATACATAATCAAATATATTTTTACATTAAGAACACATCGAAAAATCACTAAAGTTTGAATGATGCGTCACAGTTCGCCGCATATCATAATTCATCATTGTCACATAGAATATTATTTAAAAAGAACATTTTGAGTTTACATTTTATATTGTTTTCATTTAGCGAATCTCTAAATTCTGAGTCCATTTTCTTTATGAGACGAAGTAACAAGTAATCTAAAAGGTATAAGTATCATCTAATTATATACGTTTAGAAATTTTTGACTGACATATAAATTTATTATGAAAGAAATGCGAAAAACTTTTTTGTACTAATACATGAACATTATTTAATTTACAATATCCTCGGACCACGGAAATACACGTGAATATATTACTACAACCCCCCCCCCCCTCCCCCGTTGTGATATTTCGTGATTTTTTGATGGAATCCTCCCCCCCCCCCCTCCCCTTCCGAGCCTCACGCGATTAATGGACAGCCCCTTAGACAAATAGAATAATGTAACATATTAGTAAGGTACATATTTTTTTTATTAATTTGTGCAATACTTAATAACTATTAAGAATCATCACTGAAATGTGTAAATTTATGTGTAAGTTATCATTTTCGCAATAAAATAAGATTATTAGTTTTTTATTCCACGATATAAACTAGGTACCTAATTGTTATAATTGAGGCAAGCACTTGTAGCTAATTTAATTTTAATATATTTGTAAGGAAAATACGCAAAAATGTGATCAAAATATCTAAACAAAAAAGCAGTAGTTACCTAAATGTAGAACAAATCGGAATAAAATATTGATTTCAAATAATTTCTAGCCTTTCAATAATATTCCACTTTGACGACCACTGTGTATTGTAAAGCGAGCAATCATTCCAATTTCAAACAAATTATGCAAATGTTTTGGCGCCATTTCGAATCACTGCTGCCAACCGCTG